CAGATTTGGACTCTTGTATGACATCAACGTGGTATTTATTATAATCCTCAACGTCTCATCTTTCAAAATACATTGAGTCCTCTTAATTTACAGCATTCTCTCACTCAGACAGCAAAACATTTTCAAAGTTTCCCAATTAGCGATAAGGAATGGGCTCAACTTCTTGTGGCGCGCAGCGCTCAATTTCAGAACAGCTGTCTGTCAAAACCCATACAGAACTGTGAAGGGGAGACCCTGAGCTCTGATGTCATGTATAGCAGGTTACTGTAAAGCCACAGCATTCCAATTTAGGCGTTTATCCGTGTCCAAATCTGCCATGTTCAACCCGTATATGGGATACGTGTGTAAAGGGCTACAGACTGGGATTCAATGCAAGGCGTGTTATAGCGTGGAGCACTATACAGCAGACAATGCATCTTTTAAAGGCATTTTCCTCTATGTGCATGTCGCTTCAAACGTAAATTACCGACGATGTTTCGTGCTGTAGCCCATGTCTAATGGAGTTGTATTGGAGCTATGTGAGCTTGTCCATCATTCATCAGGTCCAGGGGACACACGCCTTTGTCTAATAGGCTGTGGTTGCAATATCAATATTTACCATTATAGTGTGATGTAACAATTTAACCACATACTGATTTCATTTGTACGTTTTTACAGTTATCAATACATTTAAATGACAGCAGCTGAATATGGACCATGTGTTCATTCTACTTATGAAATGAGTAGTGTGTAAGTGTGTGTGTGTTTCTGTCTATGTGTCTGTCTGTACTTGCATTGAAACCTGAAAATGTAACACTAATGCCATCCTTTTTTCTGGCCTTGTCAGCATAGGTGTCGACATCAATATCCATTGTCTGCATTGCTCTAGTTGGATTATTTGCTTTCAACCCTGCTGGCATTTTATTTTATCACCCCCTGCTCAGTCCCCCAGAACCACTAACACATTACATAAGAATCAGACAATCCATAAAATGATCATATCATGTGAAATGAAGAAAAAACTACATCTTATCATGTTGGTTTGTTGTTAACACAAACATAACACAATAGTAGTGATGGAGCATTATTAAGATTGGCCAAACAATAATGAACTAATGTACCGCTGTCTGGTAGGTTCAGATACAACATGTTGCAACAACAGAATGTGTGGGTGGTTGGAAACAGGCAGGAAGTGTAACTAAAGTTAATGTGTTCTGTGTGAATGACAGTGCAGGGAATCTTCTTCGGTGAAATAAACCCAAACCTTGACTCAATGCAAAACAAATGCAGATCTAACCATCTCAGGAATACTTACCTGGGATCAAGTCATCATCACCTTATTCATTATGATCAAAAAGGCTAAACAGATCCTAGATCAGCATTCCTGCACTGAGACGTGATAAATATGGGCCCTGACTTGAGTCTGCTAACGCAGCACTTTATTTAGATTTTACATCCGTCTAAATATTCTACAGAAACAAGAGAGAAAAAGAGAGGAAAGTGAAAGATGAAAAATATGAAAGTGTCGTGAGAGAAAAGGAGAAGTGACGGAGCTGTGTCAGGGTAATGAAAAGGAATCCACCTAACACTCCACGATGGTACCATGTGACTTCTTAAAGTCCTATACAGTTTCTTGTAAACCACATGATCTTGGTTAACCTATAGTAGGCCCTACAAGGCTTACAACAGGCTAGCTACCCAGTTATCAACAAGCACTCAGCAGGCAGGTGGCTCTCCAACAGCTAGCTACCCAGTTAGCAACAACCACTCAGCAGGCAGGTGGCTCTCCAACAGGCTAGCTACCCAGTTATCAACAAGCACTCAGCAGGCAGGTGGCTCTCCAACAGGCTAGCTACCCAGTTATCAACAACCACTCAGCAGGCAGGTGGCTCTCCAAGATGCTAGCTACCCAGTTATCAACAACCACTCAGCAGGCAGGTGGCTCTCCAAGATGCTAGCTACCCAGTTATCAACAAGCACTCAGCAGGCAGGTGGCTCTCCAAAATGATTTGGGCAGCGAGACAGCAGACTTGCTCACCGGCCTTACTGGCAGGGCGCCCGCCTTTATATGCAAATCATCCTGCCAGATACAAATCAACCCGCCAGAGATGCAAATCACGTCATATGCTAACTAGCAACTCTAAATTAAGCTAGCAACCCTACAATAGGCTACCAAGTTGCTGTAAATTAAGCTATCGACCCTCCAATAGGCTACCAAGTCAGTGTAAATTAAGCTATCGACCCTACAATAGGCTAACTAGCAAGTCTAAATGAAGCCAGCACCCCTACAATAGGCTATAGGCTAGCTAGCAACCCTATGTCAAAGAGAAAGCTGTATTTTTACAAGTGATGAAAACTTGGGAATGACAAATGCGTTACAGGATGCTGACGCACTGACTGCAGGATGTCAAATCCATTAAAGTGAAGGGGGAATGTTTAACGTTGCATCCAGAATGATTAGGATGTTACCAGCTATGCCTGTCATGGACATTTCGGTGAATCTGTTGTTGGCTAAAACCATTCTAGCACCCTCCTCCTGAACAGGGTTCAACAACCAGTTACTGAGTTACTGTAGGTCGGGACAGGAAAAGGGTGAGAAAGTTCAGAACCAAGTTTGAACACTGAACATTGTTATATAATGGCAGTTGACAGGGCTTTAAATAAGGTATAGACACATTTTGCCTTGCCACATTCAGCCTTCCAAGTTTACCAAGCTTTAGAATGTTGGAGTAGCTGAACATTCAACCATAAATTTAAGTATAAACTATACTCGTGTAGCTTATGTGCTTGAGAGAGGGGAAATGAAACTCTTCTATGCAGCATTCTGTAACTTGAACTTTCAGTTTGACTTGAGCTTGACCACATGTTAACCACGTTACCTCATATCTGAACCTACCATCCAGTGGTATATTAGTTCATAATTGTTAGGCTAAATAAGGTAAAGGAAATGCTGATGTTGACACGAAAGGTGGGGTCGCTTAGACTATAAAAAACTTGTGGACACGTTACTCCAATCTGACATGTCATGCTCATTCATTAGGTTGACGTAACAAACCAATATAACTTAGTTGTATGTATCCGTTTTCAACTCTCAAAGACTGTGGTAAGATTTATTTTCTCTATTTCACCAGATATTATTATTTTATGCATTGTCTAATTATTTTGTAATATGTTAGTCTCTGGGATACTAAATAGGTGAACTGTAACTGGGACAAAGTACACATCTACAATGCATTCGGAAAGTATTCAGACCCCTTGACTTTTTCCACATTTTGTTACGTTACAGCCTCTGAAATGTATGAAATTGTTTTTTCTCCTCATCAATCTACACACAATATCCTATAATGACAAAGCAAAAACAGGTTTAAAAAAAAACTGAAATATACATTTACATAAGTATTCAGACCCTTTACTCAGTACATTGTTGAAGCACCTTTGGCAGCGATTACAGCCTTGAGTCTTCTTGGGTATAATGCTACAAGCTTGGCACACCTGTATTTGGGGAGTTTCTCTGATTCTTCTCTGCAGATCCTCTCAAGCTCTGTCAGGTTGGATGGGTAGCATCGCTGCAAAACAATTTTCAGGTATTTTTCAGGTCTCTCCAGAGATGTTCGATTGGGTTCAAGTCTGGGCTCTGGCTGGGCCACTCAAGGACATTCAGAGTCTTGTCCCGAAGCCACTCCTGCGTTGTCTTGACTGTGTGCTTAGGGTCGTTGTCCTGTTGGAAGGTGAACCTTCGCCCCAGTCTGAGGGCCTCAGTGCTCTGGAGCAGGTTTCCATCAAACATCTCTCAGTACTTTGCTCTGTTCATCTTTCCCTCAAGCCTGACTGGTCTCCCAGTCCCTGCCACTGAAAAACATTACCACAGCATGATGCTGCCACCACCATGCTTCAACGTAGGGATGGTGCCAGATTTCCATCAGACGTGACGCTTGGCATTCAGGCTAAATAGTTCAATCTTGCTTTCATCAGACCAAAGAATCTTGTTTCTCATAGTCTGAGAGTCCTTAAGGTGCCTCTTGGCAATCTCCAAAGTGGGCTGTCATGTGCCTTTTACAAAGGAGTGGCTTCCGTCTGTCCACTCTACCATAAAGGCCTGATTGGTGGAGTGCTGCAGAGATGGTTGTCCTTCTGGAAGGTTCTCCCATCTCCACAGAGGAACTCTGGATCTCTGTCAGAGTGACCATCGGGTTGTTGGTCACCTCCCTGACCAAGGCTCTTCTCCCCCGATTGCTCAGTTTGGCCAGGTGGCCAGCCATAGGAAGAGTCTTGCTGGTTCCAAACTTCTTCTATTTAAGAATGATGGAGGCCACTGTGTTCTTGGGGACCTTCAATGCTGCAGACATTTGTTGGTATCCTTCCCCAGATCTGTGCCTCGACACAATTCTGTCTCTGAGCTTTACGGACAATTCCTTCAACCTAATTGCTTGTTTTTTGCTCTGACATGCACTGTCAACTCTGTCCAATCAATTGAATTTACCACAGGTTTATTCCAATCAAGTAGTATAAACATCTCAAGGATGATCAATGGAAACAGGATGTACCTGAGCTCAATTTCGAGTCTCATAGCAAAGGGTCTGAACACTTATGTTATTAAGGTATTTCTGTTTTTGTTTTTTTATACCTTTGCAAAAATTCTAAAAAACAGTTTTCACATTGTCATTATGGGGTATTGTGTGTGTAGATTGATTGAAAAAGTCAAGGGGTCTGAATACTTTCCGAATGAACTGTATGTCAAATACTGAAGTAAGCTTGATTGAACTTGACCACCGTGCATGTGTCACTAGTTGGGTAAAATTTGCACTTGGGACTATCCTATTTTTTCCTTTGTACCGGGTAAGCGAAGTCAAGCTCACCTCAAGTATTTGAGTTGATGATACATAAGGCACAGATACAAACCTACAAAATGGTCCCATGGCTGAATCTAGATGATGATTCCTGAAGTAACAGAGAAAAATATAGCATTTGATTTCTAGAAATGTAAGAGACAATCTATGCAACCACAGGTGGAGAATCCAACAATGCAGACCATGGATATTGATGACGACACGTATCCCATCAAGCCCAGTGTTACATTTTCAGGTATCAATTCAAGTACAAACACACAGCTTTTGTTGCTTACAATCCTGGATGATATAGGTATTTTTAACATTACCAGAGAGAGTTCAAAGACCTTACATGATAATTCCCTGTAATTCAGCTAATTTTCAGTGGTGGAAGAGACCCTCTGGAGTTGCTGCAGTGTGTCTGGGGATGCTGTGTGTTCTCCTACTGGCTGGGATCATTGGCCTGTCTGTCTACTGTAAGTTTAGAAGGTTTGGACAGAAACATTTGTAAACTTCCATGGTGTGATAGTTACACATATTTGAACTTTTCCCTTTTAAAGATGGAGTTATTGGTCATCACTACTCAACAGAGAGAGACCAACAGGCCAGTTACAGCCTTCTGACTAAAGAAGGAGATCAGCAACCCACCAGTTATAATAACTTGACTAAAGAGGTAGACCAGCTACAGACCAGTTACAACACCCTGACTAAAGAGAGAGACCAGCTACAGACCAGTTACAACACCCTGACTAAAGAGAGAGACCAGCTACAGACCAGTTACAACACCCTGACTAAAGAGAGAGACCAGCTACAGAATAGTCTAAATACCAGGACCAGAGAGAGAGACCAGCTACAGAATAGTCTCACAACCAAAACTAAGGAGAAAGACCAGTTGCAGAATACTCTCACCACACAAACACAGGAAATGGATCAATTGCAGAATAGCCTTAACACAAAAACTAAGGAGAGAGACCAGCTACAGAATAGTCTAAATACCAGGACGACAGAGAGAGACCAGCTACAGAATAGTCTAAATACCAGGACGACAGAGAGAGACCAGCTACAGAATAGGCTAAATTCCAGGACCACAGAGAGAGACCAGCTACAGAATATTATAAATACCAGGACCACAGAGAGAGACCAGCTACAAAATAGTCTAAATACCAGGACCAAAGAGAGAGACCGGGTACAAAATAGTCTCACCACAAGGACCAAAGACAGGGACCAGCAGAAAGATAGACTTAACGTTATGACTGCTGAAAGGGATCAATTAAATAATAATCTTAATTCAAGGACCAAAGAGAGAGACCAGTTGAAGAATAGTCTAAATACCAGGACCACAGAGAGAGACCAGCTACAGAATAGTCTCACAACCAAAACTAAGGAGAGAGACCAGTTGCAGAATAATCTCACCACAATAACTCTGGAGAGAGACCAGTTACAGAATAGTCTAAATACCAGGACCACAGAGAGAGACCAGCTACAGAATAGTCTCACAACCAAAACTAAGGAGAGAGACCAGTTGCAGAATAGTCTAAATACCAGGACCACTGAGAGAGACCAGTTAAATACCAGCCTTTGGTCCTATGGTGAGTGCAGTCTTTTATTTTCTTAATTTACCTAGTATCATTTTATTTCATACTTAGAAGAGATTTCATATATTTGTAGACTTTGAAATGCCTGCTGTTCTATTTCGTTTATTTCAGAGAAACCCTGTCTGAAGGAATGGTGGAAGTTTGGCACCAGCTGTTATTATGTCTCCTCCACGAGGGACACAGGCGGGGACGGTCAGCGGCAGTGCAGAGCAATGGGTGCTGACTTGGTTGTTATAAACAGCAGAGAAGAACAGGTAATAGAGAATACATTAGTAATGCTATAATACTACTGTTTCTTTATTATTATTATAATTATTAATCATTAACTACATCTCTGATTAGTATTCAATATGTGTAAATAATTGTATCACCAATGTTCATGTCACTGTCAATTTATAGAATATACTTCCTGTCAGCAAAGCAAGTTTGCATGAGATTATATCTATACCTATACTATAGTATAGCAGCTGAGGCTGCAACCTGATCTCATAGTTTCACTTCGACATTCGACGTAATCTGGATCAAAGTCTATTTTTGACGCATTCATTCCATGTGGTTACAGGGTTAATTCTGTGAGGTTACAGGGTTCAAACAGAAACAACTCAAAGGGTTATGGTTAGGGGTTAAGGTTAGGGCAATTGGTTGGGGAAGGCTTCAAACTAAAATGATTAAAAACAACGCTCTGTTTCCATCAAGTACTCTCCCTCTTGCCTGAGCATTGTGAACTGCCGTGGCGCAGTCGTCAGTGCAGATTGGTCTGTGTGGTGTGAGCATGCTTCCCCTCCAAGCTTCCTGAGTTTGCACCAGTGCTCGGCAACGTTTTTGTATTTTATGTGAGCGCTGAAGAAGGCATATATCAAAGTTCTCAGGACCTTTTCAAACATCCTAAATCCCCTTGTAATTCTATTGACCAGGCTCAGTACATTATACTACTACTACTACTATTAGACTACTACTACTATTATTATTTATAAAAATGTAAAAGTGTTCCTCTCCTGTGGAGATTAAATAATGGCCATTGTTTTTCTTACAAAATTATATTATAGATATTTATCAATGGATTTAAGAAGAATGTCTGGATTGGTGCATATAAAAAAGACGGAATCTGGAAGTGGGTTGGCAACTCAACATTTAAACCTACGTAAGTGAACAGGTTCTGGATGACTTTTTTTCTGTTGTAATAAATTACTTTTTACAGTCCGATAATCTTGTCCTCAGCCAGATGTCTCTCTCACTCTCTGTCAAATGGTAGCAATTGAGCCTGGACACTAGGTTAACCGTCTGATTCTCTATTTTGTATTGGACGATATTAAACTCTGATTCTCTGTGTTGTTTATAGCTATTGGATGGAAGGGGAACCAAGTAACTTGAATGACAAGGTGACTTGTATTGAGATCTCACAGACGGCATCAGACCCATTGAAGAGTTGGAAGGGTGGAATATGTACTTCAAATTACTGGGTATGTGAAAAACCGTTCACACCGTAGTCTAATTATAATAACTAATGTAAGCCCCTATCTTATGGAGTTGCACTGGTTTTCCCTTTGTTAGGCTTAACGTGTTTCTATGTGTATCTACATTGAAAGATGTATTTGATGTCTTTAAAGAGACCAGGGTTATGTGGAGTTGGTCCACCGTTCATCAGGCCCAGGGGAGTGGAACTGTGGTCTAGTAGGCTCTAACTGTGGTTGACATTTTTTTAAACTATATTTACCATTTTTACCATTTAATGTGTGCATATAACAATTGAATAAGATACTGTTTTCATTTAAGTTTTTACAGTTATCAATCCATTTCAAATGCAGCAGTGTTCTATGTTTCCTTCCATATGTACCATGTGTTCATTCTACTGATTAAATACATCTATATACTGTGATCCAGGTATGTCATTTACTTATAATAATAATAATAATATGCCATTTAGCAGACGCTTTTATCCAAAGCGACTTACAGTCATGCGTGCATACATTTTTGTGTATGGGTGGTCCCGGGGATCGAACCCACTACCTTGGCGTTACAAGCGCCGTGCTCTACCAGCTGAGCTACAGAGGACTACTTGTCAGGTATACTGTAATACTAAGTGTTGTAATGTATGAATAGTAACTCCAATGTTTTCCTTCTAAATGGTGTCAGTTATTAGTTGACGTAGTACAGTAAAAACACTTTAGTTAATATATAGAAAACAGTCGTTATCAGTAAAGTTATAGCAGTACCAGAATTGACCACTAGAAGGGTTGTGTCATCCATGGACATGTGACCAGAGCCCGTATTCACAAAGCATCCCAGAGTAAGAGTGCTGATCTAGGATCAGTTTTGTCTTTGACCTCTCTCTGGTAATGTTCGTTGTTTTATCTTTTTACTTAGCTTACCCAGTACAAAGGAACCGATGGGATAGTCCCAAAAGAGCAAACCCTGCCCAACTAGCAACACAATACTCCTGTTGGATGAAATATTCACATTTAGAACTTCTGTGCAGTATTCTGAAACTTGAACTTAAAACCTAAACATGTGCATCTTCTAAGGCTCCAACCTTAGCTATACCCACTGGATACCATTATGGACCTATAGCGTTCACATAATAATGGAGTCAGATTGATAAATGTTGGTTATTATTATATTCAATATAATTTCTACACATCTACACCTTAACAGGTGTCTTGAACATACTGACGTCTGAGATTTCTGAGTTCCCAGGTGTTTTCAACGCGACTTTAGGGGATCTGTTCTCCCTCACCCACAACCTTCCTGGGGGATCTGTTCAGATATTATATATTACTGTATGAGATCAGATATGATATGATACTGTATGAGATCAGATATGATATGGTAATATTTGAGCTCAGATATATGGTAATTTATGAGCTCAGATTTGATATGATACTGTAGGAGATCAGATATATGGTAATTTATGAGATCAGATATTGTAATGTATGAGATCAGATTTGATATGGTAATTTCTGTTTGGTTAAATTTGAAGACATCTTCTGCAACACAAGTTAAATATCCAGTACCAATTTCTATGACGCATACACATATAATGCCCTGTAAAACATTTATAACGCCTTAATATTCACTATAAGATATTAGAATTGCTCATCAGTAAATGTGTAACATACAACAATAAATGTAAATAAATATGGTAACAGGGATCCCTTTTAACAAACATTAAACTTTTTGCCTCTGTCTCAAAATCCGCATCAGCCAATTAAAATCGCGAATGTAGTTGTACACTGTCAAACACTACATACAGTGCCTGCAGAAAGTATTCTCACCAATAGACGTTTTCCACATTTTGTTGTGTCACAACCTACATTTAAAATGGATTAAATTCAGATTTTGGGTCACTGGCCTACACAAAATACCCCATTATGTCAAAGTGGAATTATGTTTTCAGAAATCTTTAAAAATTAATTAAATAAAAAGCTGAAATGTCTTGATTCAATAAGTATTCAACCCCTTTGTTATGTCAAGCCTAAATATGTTCAGAAGTAAAAATGTGCTTAACAAGTAATAATTTGCATGTACTCACTCTGTGTGCAATAATAGTGTTAACATGACTAATAGTGTTTTGAATGACTACCTCATCTCTGTACCCCACACATACAAGTATCTGTAAGGTCCCTCAGTCGAGCAGTGAATTTAAAACACTAATGTAAGCACAAGGAAAAGTGAGGTTTTCCAATTCCTCACAAAGTAGGGCACCTATTGGTAGATGGGTAAAAAAAAAAAAACATCCCTTTGAGCATGGTGAAGTTATTAATTACACTTTGGATAGTGTATCAATACACCCAGTCACTACAAAGATAAAGGCGTCCATTCCTAACTCAGTTGCCGCATTCAGAGGGGTTAAATGTGGGAGACACATTTCAGTTGAATGCATTCAGTTGTACAACTGACTAGGTGTCCCTTTCTGTTTGCAATAAGGCACTAAAGTAAAACTGCTAAAAATGTGGGTAAGAAATGAAATGTATGTCCTAAATACAAAGTGTTATGTTTGTGGCAAATCCATCACAACACATAACTGTATACCACTCTTCATATTTTCAAGCATGGTGGTAGCTGCATCATGTTATGGGTATCCTTGTCATCGGCAAAGAAGTACAGAGATTTTTAGGATAAAAATAAATGGGATACAGCTATATCACAAGCAAAATCCTAGAAGAAAACCTGGTTGTCTGCTATCCAACAGACACTAGTAGACAAATTCACCTTTCAGCAGGACAATAACCTAAAACACAAGGTCAAATACACTGTAATTGTTTACCAAGATGCCACTGAATGTTCCCGAGTTGCCTATTTACAGTTTTGGCTTAAATTGGCTTGAAAATCTATGGCAAGACTCAAAAAATGGCTGTCCAGCAATTATCAACAACCAACTTGACAGCGCTTGAATAATTTTTTTAAGAATACAATGCAGGTGTGCAAAGCTCTTGGTGACTTACCCAGAAATACTCACAGTTGTAATCGCTGCTAAAGGTGACTCTAACATGTATTGACTCAGGGGCGTCAATACTTATGTAAATGAGATATTCCTGTGTTTCATTTTCAATAAATTTGCAAACATTTCTAAAAACATGTTTTCACTTTGTCATTATGGGGTTTTGTGTGTAGATGGGTGAGAAAACCCCCCAATTGAATCCATTTTGAATTCAGGCTGTAATACAACAACATGTGGAATAAGTCAAGGGGTATGAATACTTTCTGCAGTATTATAGCACTGCAATCACTGACCTGTTTGAATATACAGATTATTGCTGCAAGGACTCATTCACATAAACATAACGACACAACTATACAGTATGGGAGAGACAAGTGTATTGTATCTTTGTCAAAGATACAAAATGTAAAGAATGACTTCTGATTTATTTTTAAAATCTCAGTATTATTTTATTATAGAAACATGCATGCAACATATATCGATTCATCTGCTAAACATTAAACAAAGATGTACAAGATTTAAAATAACAATTGTTTATTGGAAAATAAATGAACACATAAAAAATATATACAACTCATTGAATGAACATTATTTCTAATTGTGGGGATGTTCCCAAATAAACTACAATAAGTATGAACATGGAGAGGGAATGGAAAGTAAAATGACTGAGGGAGAGAGAGAGATGAAAGAGAGAGGGAGAAAAGTGTAGAAAAAAAGCGGGTTGAGAGAAAATTAATTATGTAATTTAATATCTGGTGACCAATCTCTTTATATCATAAACGCATTGAATTTAATGAATATTGGGACTCTGTACTGCTTTGAAATCATCCATGAGCTCCTTCACTCTTATCATGTCTTCTTTCTGACAAGACAACATTTAGGACCATCAGATCCACAAAGTCCTCTGCTTCCACCTAGAGGAACAAAGGAGGGATTACAACTGTCACAGGGATGACTAAAAGCTAATACGAATACTGTATGTTTTCTGGTCTATGTTCGTTTCTATGTTTGTATGTTAACACCATTTAACCACGTCGAGGACAGTTAGCGAGAAAGATGAGTGGACAACAGTGAAGTCCAAGAATGGAACAAAAAGGGTTACAATTGTTGTGGAAAATGAGGGATGAATCGTTCCTTGTTGGAATACGTTTTTTGGATAAAGATGTTTATTTGGGAAACCCTTTTGAAGTCATGAGGATGGCGAAGAAGGCTTTGGGAAAAGTGGATGCAGTCAAAGTAACCAGGAGTGGTATGGTGTTGATATCATAGTAACCAGGAGTGGTATTGTGTTGATATCATAGTAACCAGGAGTGGTATGGTGTTGATATCATAGTAACCAGGAGTGGTATGGTGTTGATATCATAGTAACCCGGAGTGGTATGGTGTTGATATCATAGTAACCAGGAGTGGTATGGTGTTGATATCATAGTAACCCGGAGTGGTATGGTGTTGATATCATAGTAACCAGGAGTGGTATGGTGTTGATATCATAGTAACCAGGAGTGGTATGGTGTTGATATCATAGTAACCAGGAGTGGTATGGTGTTGATATCATAGTAACCCGGAGTGGTATGGTGTTGATATCATAGTAACCCAGGGAGTGGTATGGTGTTGATATCATAGTAACCAGGAGTGGTATGGTGTTGATATCATAGTAACCAGGAGTGGTATGGTGTTGATATCATAGTAACCAGGAGTGGTATGGTGTTGATATCATAGTAACCAGGAGTGGTATGGTGTTGATATCGTGTCTATCTAAAGAACAAAAGGAGTGTGCATTGTGGCTCGATAAATTATTCACACATGAGGTGAACAGCTTTGATTTTCGGAGCAGGGCACTGGTCAAATGTTCTATTTCTGGCGTCCCGTTGGACATTGATAATCAATATCTTAGGCTAAAAAATCCAGGAGTAGTTAATGCACGTCGCTTGGCCCGTATGGAGAATGGGAAAAATGAGCAAAGTTTATCTGTATTATTGATGTTTGACGAGTATTTACCAACCTATGTAAAGTAGTGATGTATAAGATACGCCGTAAGAGCGTTTGTGCAATACAATACTAGAAGTGTAAAAATTATGGCCATGTGTCAAGTGTTTACAGATGGAAGGAATATGTTATTGACGAGTCTGAATATCAAATGTTGCAACTGTGGTGGGGATCATATTTCCGAATTCCCTGAGTGCCCTGTTAGGGTGAAAGAGGTTGAGCTATCAAGCAAATCTCCTATGTGGAGGCGGTGAAGAACGTTGAA